CGGGGTGACGGGCGACGAGCCAAGAGCCAAAGCCTTAGGCTGCGGTAGGTGGGAGCATCCAACACGATCTGTCCTAGCAACAGTAGCAAGGGCCCTACTAGTTGTTGTAGTAGCGGCTAATAGTGGTAACAGCGGGCCCGCATCCTGTACCTGTATTTCCATATTGTTTATCAGCATAAACAAGCGAAAGGTGTCGTCATTAGCGGTGAACATCATACCAGCGATGTTATCATGAAAAAAAAAGGTTCTCGACGTGTCCGACCACGAATCTACCAGAAACACGTTAAGTTGCATATTTTAGAAAGACAATTATCGCCGCAATATATAGGGAGCTGGAAAATTTGGGGCGCGAGTGTCAATTATTCGCCGTCTTACGTAAAGATGCCTGCCTGTGGTTCCGGTTTACTTGAAATCTGCAGAGTTACTGCAGATATCTCTCAAGACCTGTTTTTTCATGCGCAGAGGCTTGCAGTGTGCGCTTGTCCATTTTTTATTGTTCCACTGCCGATGGAAGTTGTGCATGGATAGAAGCAGATGCTTGTTGGTCGGCAGCAAGAGAGAGTATTAACCGAGTAACATATATTTACATATAAACAGCTGTATAGGAGCACCAACATACGCGCGTGTCTAGAGACATAGCATACACATAGTTTACTGTAGATAGCAAGATCTAAACGGAAAACAATACGGAACATTCAGCAAAACTCATCAACACGCAAGTTCATCTTCCCTCATTTTTTATATTTTCATCCTGCTTCCTACCATACGATGTTACTGTGGTACCGTGGAACTTAGCGGCCAATTCATAGATCTTTAGACAAGATCAATGGATATTCTGCCAGTACCTGATCCCTTTTTGAAGATAAACAGAAATTAACATGACACGCGGCACCTCGACAAAGGCAAAGCTTAACGCCTATGTTGTTTACGGTAGTGGCAATAACCGTAGGAAAGGTGTAGCCATCGTGGTCTGCCAACGAAAAGATATGCATTAGCGATGCCGGTATGAAAAGGTCACTTGCCTCTCTGTTCGACTGGCAGCGAATGTAAGAAAAGCGGCATAAATGCCAAAGAGAGAAAGAATGGACGAATTGACAGCAGCTCGTATGTCGGATTTAGTAGAAGAGGCAAAGGAAGCTGAGCATCGCCTCCAACAAAAGCTACTAAAGCACAAAGTCAACTAGAAGCAGCATGTTATTTACAAGTAGCATCGAGTGCACCACTATTTAGTCTATTTCTCGCTGCATGACTTTTTTGTGTTTTCGAATTGACCTATCTTTAGAGCGTCGCTGCTAGAAAACCAAACGATATCGGGTTAGGGGCAACCTAAAAAAAATAATGTAGGCCTATAATTAACAGAAATAAGTCTAAAAAAACTGAGGAAAAGCTGACCATTAAGGGACGATGCGGAGAAACAAAAAGCTAAAGTAGTACAAAACATTGAAGCCGCGCGGTAAACGCAGCGTAAAGGGAAATCTTCAACAGCCGATATTGACTATCAACGTCGTGGACTAGGTTCGACCAAATGTAATGTCAATGCGCCCTTAACAATTCTCTACAAGCTTCTTCTTTTATCTTCGAAGCACACGCGACGAAGGTTCGCTGCACTACACAATGAGGCAATGCAACAACGCACCGATTTCGGCGTTCTCCTACTATCACTGATTGCAACAGAAGCCTCAACGTGACTTGCTTCTTCCTCAACAGGCCACTCTTTCTGTACTGAGTGACTCAGCCGTCTCACGTCCCTAAGGCTCTGAGTCGCAATGACTGGATAAACGAACAAGTGAGTGAGTCTGAGCGTGTGTGTGACACAAAGAGAGAGAGAATGGCGGGAGTCATCGACCGAGCTGCGTGGAGTGGGTGGGAGGGAGAGAAAATACCACGAAACCAGTCGCCAAAGTGGAACATGCTATCCCAAAGACAAAAAGAGAGAGACAAAGAAATACGATATGTTGACTGCACAAATCCATCGAAAAGGGAAAACCGGAACGTGTATATATGCTTTTGCGTGTGTGTGTGTGTAAGAGAGCGCGAGCGAAGCACTGAAAGAGTTGGGCACAACAAAAACGAGTATAACGTAAGCAAACGCACGGAAATGAGACTGGTTGCAAAAGAGCTGACGTGAGTGAAATGTTCCGCGCATCATACTAGTGTGTGTTCAAGTACTCCTGTGGTACCAGCAGGAGTTACGTGCAGCACGAGGAGCAAGGAAATGCGAGAGCGGGGACTTGAGACTAATGTACGCGCCATGGATTGACTACGAGTGGCTGAGAAAGCCACGAAGACGCAACGGCAGGGAAGATAGCGCGAACGAGGACGATAAACAGCAGAGAACTGATATATAAATAGTGACGATATTAATGGAGGATGAAGAGAGCGAGTTAAGTCATTACGAGGTTTCACCAGCAGTTGGAGGAGCACTAGAGTTAAACGATTGCGAATGGACTACTGACGAAATATTGTTTCTTTGGGTTATCTTTTCTAGTGATATGGAATATTTAATAATAAATTGTCGTCGGCACTTACAATAGTCTCCTTTTCTTTGAACAGACCCACTGTTTATATTTATTTTTATCCTGGCTTATTTCAGGGTATTCCGCTATTCTGTACCTCGTCACCGTCAATATATATATATATATATATATATATATATATATACATGATTACTAGCGTAAATCTCCAGACAAGGCAAATATAATCAAACGAGGATCGATTCATCGTCGAGTGGCAGGTAACTTAGGACACCGTCATCGTGCCACGTGGCTACGGAGACCAACGCATAATTGGCTATGCCCTGATAAATGGACAGATTTTTGAGCGACCCAGCTAGTTAACGAACGATTCCTGTCCAGCTGCACGGCTGTAGATTCGCTGAAAAACTTCGCGTACCTACAACAAAACTATTTAACCCAATTTCGTTTTTCGTCACCGTTAGTTTGTTTCACCGCTCAAACGAGTGGTAGTAACCGATAGACGAAAAAACTGTTTCCCTTTATTCTGGTTGTTGTTGGTCACCGTTCAGGTGGACGTGTATCCATCAGAATGGCGACTCACCACCACTCGCTAACTTACTACGGTAGCGTGTTTACGTATGAGTCTGTCTCAACTAGCAGAGATTCAGGCACAGTTCGGTGCAGACGGCCACACTAGCTCAGCTCTATTGCCGACCGATACACTGATCGGTGTGTCGATAGCAATGACAGCGCCAACAATAACCGAAGCGACAGCACACAGCGATCCGCACACCCATCGATACACACAGACGGGCACCGAGCATAGACACCAGAAGTCCATACAGAGCATCGGCATACATACACGTGCACATTCAATACAGGCTGGGGACAACGCGTGCATGAATCAAGACGAAATAGAAAAATAACGAAATAGGAAAAAGAGAAAAATACAGAAACGAAGATAGATCAGAAGGCTGTTGGCAATAGAATGTTAGGACACCATCGCTGTTGATTACGGCGATGGGGGCGGCTGAAAGAAAAATCGTGCAGCAACGAGACTAATATATAATAATAATAATAGCGGCAGTGTTCATGAAACTAGATGTACGTATATTTGTCATGGCAGCTGACGGCAGCCGTGAGGTAAACGGACACCAAGCGAACGGCCTATTGCTCGAGACAGGTATGGACAGCTTGCCGGTTTTTGCTCGTTGCGGCGGACTCGCTCTCCCTCTCTCTCTGTTTTTCTTTTTCTAGGTCTTTCACGCAGACGCACACACTCATACACACGCAGACGACACACGCACGCACGCTCTCTCCCTCATATTCTCACCGCACTTTCTCTCTCGCCTCCTCTATTCCGCCGCTATCTCACTTTCTCTCCTTTTGCCTCGCTGTCGCTCGCTTGACCGTGCTTTTTTTGCGTTCTTCTCCTTTCTCACTACTGAGCAGACGAGTCATGCGTCGGGAGAAAGAATGAGATCACTGCAAGAAAGGGAGATCCTGAAGTGAACCTAGAAGGGAGAGTGAATACGAAACACAAACAGAGAGGTGGAAAGCAAAAGAAAAGGATGGAGAGGGCGGGTGAGCGGCGGTGCTGGCGGCGCCGTCGCCGCCGCCGCTGCTGGTGGTAGTGGCGGGCTGCAGAGCTAGCTATCGGATCCACAGCAGCAACAGCAACCGGGCTGCTGCAGGGTGGCCGGCTGCATGGGCAGACAGCCAAACAGGCAGGGCGAACTGGCAAGAGTGACGATGGTGGAATTGGCATTATCACGGACGGGCAAGCGGCAGCGCCCATACGGCGAGCCAGTCAGTTACGCTGCGTTGCCGCGCCACACTACCGCAAGCAAGTACGCACCCGCGCACACATACACACGGCCCAACAGCCACACATCCGCGCTGCGTAAAGCACAATCAGCCTCAATATGTCTGTGTGCATCGCTCGCTCGCTCGCTCACTCATTCACTTATTCATTTACTCGCTCTCAGTCAGCGGCTCGTGTGCTCGCCCGTCACTCGTCACCATACTCTGTTCAGTGGTTGCTTCTTTGCCTACTCGTTCGGTCGTTCGCTGATTCGTTCACTCCTCCTCGCGTCGTCATCGTAGTCGACGCTTTTCAGTCGTAGGTTGTTCGTATCGCTGCTGTATGATGCCGGCTCTGCTGCCGCTGCTGCTGCCAGTCGTCGTAGCAGTTAACGAACTGCAGCTGAAGCAGTAACTGACGAAGAAAATTGACATACTGGCACACGACTAAACAAAAAACGAAAAGAAATAGTAAAGCAGTGAGCCGATGAGCCAGCGAATCACATGCAGGGACACGGATAAAGACAAAGGAAGAGACCGTGAGAAGAAAACAAAGAAAACAAGCTAGCTAGGTATCGTGCCGACCGATCCACCGACTAACCAGCTAACCGGTCACTCCGTGTAATTCTGTCTGCTCAGCAGCAGCAGCTGCAACTAAGGAAGAGAGTGAGGGGAAACGAAAAAACGAGTGCGAGAGGGAACGAAAAGAAAGAGAGCGAGGGAACACGAAGGAGAGTGAAAGAAAAGAAGCAGCGAGTAAATGAAGCAGGCCTGCGAGCCAGCAGGAGCACTATCGAATGCTCCCGTCACTGCTGCTCTTGCTTCTGTCAGTGGTGTTGATGCTGGTGAGCGTGGATAAGCGTCGGGAGTGAGCTGATGTTGCTGTTGTTGCCGATCACGACGACGACAACAACGACGAAAATACCGATGAGGACGACGAAGACAACGACGACGAAAGCTATTTGCCAGCCACACCAGCATCGAGCAGTATAGTGGTGGCGGTGAAATCATAGCGGTGTTGTTGCTATTGCTCGCAGCGTAGCTAGAGTTAAGCTGACCTGAACTGAGTTGAGCTGAACTGATCTGAACTGTGCCAGTGGGGGCAGCGGCAGCAGCGGCGGCGGCGGCGGCGGCGACAGCAGCAGCAGCAGCAGCAGCAGACGTTGGCAAAGCTTAGCTGACAGGAGAAAGAACGAAAAAGCCATAGAGAGAAGTGTACAGCGTGACAGCGCCACGGCCAACGCGATGAGCGGCGTTGAGGAAGGACATCTATAACTACAAACATCTATAACTACGACTGCTACAGGGAAAAACAGTACGCAGACATCGCTATAACTAGCAGCAGTGGTAGGAGCAGCTCTAGTGGGTGAGGCGGTGGCAGTAACGGCGACAGCAGCAGTGGACGCAGCTGCCGCCGTCGCGTTTGTCGAGGTGATGGCGGTACCCGATGGCTGGTTGTGCTGACGGTGGCTATAGTGGTTCCAGTGGTCTTGCCTGGCAACACAGTCGTGGCTGTGCGTGCGGTGCGTCCCTCATCAGTCTATCGCTGTGTACTGCCACGTTGGGTTGTAGTTGTTGTTGTTGCTGTCGTCGTCGTCGTCTGTGACGCCTGTGCGGGTTGTATGCGTGCGCCCGTCCGTCCGTCCGTCCACTGTGTTGTTCGTGCTGGCTAGAGAAGCAGCGGCGTAAGAAACTCGCGCCTGACGCTCTCGCTAACGACTGCGACGCATCGGCGCCTGTTCTAGCTGAAACGGAATAAGCACCAGCAAGAGTTATCAATCGTAACGTAGCCTGGTACAAAGATATTTAGACGATCGCCGCCGCTGCTGCTGCTGCTGCTGATGATGATGATGATGATGCTGCTGCTGCTGCTGCTGCTGGTGACGACGATGATGGTGATTGTGGTAGTGGCCTGACCGTCTAACATATACCTCTCTGAAGACGGAGACAGAAAACGCTGTCCAGACGACATCCACAACAAGTAGTCAGAAAGAGCGTTAAGCAACAACATCCGACCGAGAGAAACAGTACAAAGTTTCCAGTTTATACTAAAAAGTGAATACCAAAACTAGTTGGAGGTTGACAATAATAATCAACGTTGTAGCAGTCGCCGTGGACAGAGGCAAACGGAACCGTATACCATGAAATCGTACGTCGAATTGTTGAGACAATTGCAGACAGCGAACTGTATCTCTATCTACAATCGCTACCACTCATGAACCACTATCACGATAGTTGTACCGGTCAGCTGTAGTAAAAAAGCAGTTCGCGGCAAACTCGGCTGGCAAGAGGGCACAGGAGTCGAACCAGCGAACTAACAACAATCAAAAGGTAGCAACAGAATTGTTGCAATTGTTGTCCCGTTTGGCCCTGCAAAATCTGTCGTCGCCGCAGCCGGCGGCTAAACCGTGAGGAGCTGCTGCGTTCGTACTGCTGTTGCGCGAAAATTCGGATGAAACCAACGACAAACAGTCGAACGAACAAACGGCCAAGAAGTACCACCCAAACGCGCTGCCGTTCTGGTCAGTCAACAGCGTATTGAGGCCTGCCGGCCCTATAGTCTGTTGCCTGTGCCTGTGTATGAGTAACAACGCAGTAGTGGCAGTGTGACGCGGTTCGTGGAAACGCGACAGCAGCAACAGCCACGGCAAAGCCAAACCAGCAAGAAGCGGCCAACCATTCAGTCGCCATTGAAGCAAGCAAGTTTCGGCCAGTTAACACCGTCGCTCGCTATCCCTATTTGTGTGAATCCCCGTAGCCGGGTATCCGTGCAGATTGCCACGGCGAAGTTGTGTGCGAACAGCTGTGTAAGTCTGTGACGATGGCTATGTATGTTACTACTGCTATTAGCAGATAGCGCCATAGTCACAGGCCTCTGGTCCTCTGTAGCAGACGTCGCGGCGGTAGTAAGGGACGTAGACGTTTTCAGAAACGGACAGGGACAGAAAGGTTGCGTATTGTATAGTATCGCCAGTGTGCTAACCCTGGAATCAGCCAGCTCTAGTTAGCGACATTAGCTGGCGGATCGGCTGAACTAGACCGATGGGACAGCTGAATTTCAGAGGTATATAGCCAGGCCCAGGAAAAAATCGGCTTCGGTGTAGGTCGTCGAAAAACTGTGGAGTTGAGAACGCCTTAACCGGGAAAGAGATCTGTAGGAAAAATCCCTAGGTAGTCCTAGGGGAAGATACACGGTGGCGGGCAGAGAGCGCCTGCAGGAGAAATATCCTCGAGTGAGGTCATACTGTACAACTGTGTGCATTTGTGCAAGTTTGTTCGCAGACAACACTTCGGAACGGAAAGCGAAATTTATCAACAAGAAGCAGAGTGTCAGCCATCGAATCAGCGCGCTAACGAGGTCGTACGCCCTAGAATTTCATACAGTTCGAATTCTACGCTTAGCGACAATTGCATATATTGAATCTACTTACGATTGAAAGCCGTAACAGCAACAGCAGAACCAACAATCACCAGCCGATAAGCCACGAATCGGTCACATCGTTCGTCGGCAAGAGTGAGACAGAAAAAAGGACAAGGCAGAAGAAATTCGTCGTGTTGATGCGTTTTCGAGCATTGCTCATATGCCAGTATTGCGAGAAGGGATCTGTAGTGCAAATCGCTGTCAATAATATGTTCTACAATCTACAACACATCGTTGTTGCTATTGCTGGGATCGCTCGATTTCATTAGAACTTCCCGCCGGCTTGACCAATGTACCCCGGCCAGGTAACTGGCAGTTCATTCAAATCAAGATCATAACAACAGCATTAAAGAAGAAATTTAAAAAAATAAACGAAAAGATTGGCGCAAGGTGAAATTCACGTGGCGTCAGGCAGTAAACATTTTCGAGGGAAAACACAAACACATCTTTAGCGACGCCTAATTGGCCCATCCAATCGGTCAACCTGTAATTAGCGTTTTCTTGCAAGTTTTTTTATACATGTGAGTGACACTTTACCGTAATGTCAAGTGGGGCATAAACGATGCGCTGCGCTTATCTCTCGTGAGCGCCCAGACCATTTTCAAGGTTGACTCTAGCCATGTTCTCGACACCGAACCTCCGAAATATCTATACAAAAAAAGATTATGCGCGACTGTGAGTAGATGGAGGAGATACACGAAGCATAAGAATTCATCGTTGCTATTGTGCTCGTTGGAAAAGTAAAAAGTGTCTTGGTTCGTGGCGCTGGATGGTATATCGTTTACTGTGTTTTTCGGAAAGAACGAAAATAACACGAAGTATAGAATAAACATATATAAAACAATAACGGCGACAGCAAAAGAACAACGACAGCAATAACAACATCTGGATGATGCAAATCTCTACTAGTTTAGGCACATCGATACCGTCGGCCTGCTTTTAAGGTTAGTCTGTTCTGTTAAACGACCGAGTCGTTTGGTGGACTGGTAATTTTATTTATAGTTTAGTTAGAAGGTGATAAGTGTAGGGAAAGCTTCGCGTTTTTTATAGGAAATTATTGGACTATTGTTTGCGCATTTGGTGCCCACAAATATATTGCTATTACTATGGAATTGTTAGTTTACGGCTGCTATTATGATCGATAGAATCCCGGCCGTGCTGCAGGTTGTCGGTAGCTCGCTTTGACCTTTCCTTTTAGCAAATATCGTATTCGAATATGTACATACTCGACTAGGAACTAACAGATCTTACTAAACGAAACGTGCAACCGTAGTCATTGATTACTGCTGCGCTTAACTTACCGCCACTTACTCGTCCATGGGGGTCTTTACAATCACATTAATCGTGATGGAATAGATAGAGATTTTGCAATTGCAACCTTGGGTTAGGTTGTAGTCGCGAATGCTTTCCGCAATGCATCGGAAAATTGCATCGTATATCTGGTGAAACACGAAATTTTTTTTATACAGACTGAAACACCTGAGAACTAGGCCCTTCAATGCACTGGGCAATAATGAATGCGGTGCGGGGAATATGACATTGGCAGGGAGGGTATTGAAAAAGGTTGATTAATTTGAAAAAAATCACACAGTCTCAGCCGTGGCTCAACCGAAAAATTTCGTGAGCGTCAATTTTGAGCCCTTTGGACTTACTTGGCCGACGATTCTGTTAAGTCTTCTACGAGCGCAAGCCCCAAGAATTAAACCAATTATGATAGACGTATTTCTACTTTGCCATTGTCTACCTCTGTCGTTTGTAAAGTGACTATATAGTATATTGTGGTTATGTGGCCACGATATCAGCACACGATCACCAGCATGGCTATTGGAAACGCTGGATAACAACTGGTCACGGAAGCGCTAACCAGTGGCACCTGCGCATATTTGCAGTAGGCACGGTCTATAAGACAGTACATGTAATTTTTTTTAATGAACAGCGTTAAAATCTATTAAAACTAAGCACGAGATAGGGAAAAGAACACGGCGAAGAGGGAAACAAATTACCGTGATTCTATTATTAGTGCATGTTTTCCTTGCCGACTCGAAGTCTAGGTTTGGACAGTCTGAATGTTCTCGCACGAGTAGCATTTAAATCTGCGTTGTGCTTGTTCTTTCTCTAATAGGCTTAATATTTTCTATTTAGCTTCCTTTCCTGTTGAGTAATCTGTAACAAGCTTGCTAGCATTGACCATGACCATGACCGCGATAATTTTGACAACACGCAGCAAGCAAGTTGGAACTGCAAATATATACTTGGAAGTTGAGAGCGCAATGAGCGGTGTTTAGTAAGGGAAGTCTTTTCTGTATTGATGGAACTGATCAGGGGTGCTGTATGGCAATCGCAAAATTTACTCATCTCACACATTTTGAATGAGACACACAATGTAAACACAATGGGTATGTCTATAGTATACTGTATTCCAAGGAAAAACGCGCCGTCAAAGTCAGCAGATATCTTTGATTTTGCCTTCGACCGTCTTCGTATTTTTGCTACGGTCGCTTCTCCTTTCTCTTGGCATCCCAGATAGATGTAACCTCCCGCACAGTACGCTAACGCGGTGAAGTCACGATGCCCGGATTGTCGCCCATACAGCGAACATATCACTAGCCGTAGCTGCCATACGACTGACATCTTACGTGTCTCCTCGGCTCAGTCCGAGACCCAGTTCGCGATCGATGGGGCTTCGTTTCTAGCTCAGGCTGCCCATCTAGCGTCGCGCCTATCTCCCCCTGTTGAATCGCTACGTCCATTCGACTACCGCTCACATCGTCACCACGGCCGAGAGAGTTTGTAGTGAACCGTCACATAGCCTGCTTCCATCGTTCAGTCTATCCCGTACACGAGTAGCCGCAAGGGACTGTGCCTCAGAACACGGGAAAGTCTCCTCCGTGACACAGCTCCCTCTGAGCCATCTTTGCTTCGTTTCTTAAGCGGTTACCCTCCTCGCCAACGATCCGCGTCAACGATGTTGTGGTCCTCTATAGGGTAGGCGTCTTTGAGCGACACGACTTACCGCTGGCCGTTCTTATTCGAACTCCCTGTGCTCGTCTGGAGGCGATTGTCTGCCATGGCTAGTGATGCTTCTACAGCCGACGCCTTCATACACTCTGCGATGAATGCAGTAAATATTCTCTGCCTCCCGGCCCTTACATGTACCCCACAATATTGTCTATGAGCGACCTCACGGCAGTGACGACGAACGAATGAGCCACCGCCAGCGTCCAGTCTCATGCTTTGTTCTATAACACAGGAGTAAACTCTACTACCCATAACATAGATTGGAAGAGAAGGAAGGGATGAGGGGACGAGTGGGGTATGAAAGAGGGGGCAGAGAGGTTTCGTCATATCACACAGCCTTTGGCGGGGTGGATAGTGGATTGAAAATACGGGACAGCAGTGTGTTGCTTGGCCTACTTGGGTGGGAGGTTTCGCAGGGCCTGGCGGCATTGAGTGTGGTTAGAACAGTCCTCTTTGCTGGTGGTTGATATACATAAAATGCCAGCTCATTGAGGAAGGCAGGGGAATAACCACGAAGCATAGGGGAAGAGAGGAAAAGAAGATTCTAGAGAGAAATACACAGTAGATCTGGGTAGAGAAAAGAGAAGCCGAGTGAGCGGCAAATCGTACATGTATCGTATATACAGAGAGATACAAAGAAAGGAAAATGGGCTTCTGGAACAGGCGCGGCCTAGGACAGCCAGCCAGCCAACCAGACAGGAAGACTCACTGGCTCGCGCGATGACGACGACTCTCTCGACCGAGTTGTGGGTGCGAGTATGCACGGGTGCACAGTTTCCGCCTGCTACTACTACTACTACTGCTGCTGCTGCTGTTGTTATGAGTTCTCTCACAGCGATGAGTCGATCCCGGCCAACAGTTGTTGTTGAGTGTTCTTGTACCAACTATTCAGATTAAGACTTACCAGAGCTGTACGATTTTCCACAAGAGCAGAATCAGCTGCAGATGTTGATTTTTCGTCTACTACGGTGGCTGCGAAAAAAACAGAAGTTTGGGACATCAAATTGTGTTCAGCTGAGGAAATCGACACGACGAAGACGATGAAGTATTGCTTGTTTAATATTTAAACAGAAAAGTCATTTCCAACGAAGCACTTAACATAGTAAAACTTATGCCAATACAATGGGTGCACGTTCTATCCGAACAGTTTACCTAAACTAGCTTCTTTCCTGTGTTCCATTATGGTGAGTATTATGAGCGTTATTAATTACAACATCAATGCGTGAGTTGAATAAATTCTATAGAAAGCTCACTCTGTTAAATGGATAGAATATTGGTACACGTACATATGTTTTTCTAAACATCATTTGCTTTTTATCTACAAATGTACAGTGTTAAATATGAAGATCTCAAAAGAACGAAGACGACAGATATTTAGCTGTGCAAGAATCTGCCATCTACGTTTTTCTTGTCCTCGTTAGAGCTTGAATTAGCGTTGGCGCATTGCACAGCTGCTGCAGAGGTTCCGTATGCAGCGAAATGAAAACATTTGTGCTGCTTTCAAGCAGGACAACTATGACTGGACCGTTTCTTAAATGTCGTCCTAGGGCACTTTCATGGTTGTTTCTTACATTCATCCCACTGTGCACCCTGTAGCTGTACCTTAAAGATGTTGTATTATATTGTAGCCTTACAGAAGGGATCCTAAAAGGCAGAAGGATGAAGCACAGAGAAAAAGTCTTGAGGATGTCGGAATCGTTGCTCTAGGGCCTTTTCGCCTCCTTTTTGACTGCGATGCCCCGTTTTACGTCTGTTACCACGTTCACTGTGGGACAACAATTCATTAGGAGAGAATAAACGAAAACCCACACGTTTGTACGACCATTGTTGGATTGCTACATTTTTAACGCATCGGCCATTGGTGTTATTTCTACAATTCTTCAGTTCTTTCTTCCGCGCCTGTTTGTGACAACGTTTATGGCGATTGCCTGTGTGTGTGTGTGTGTGTAATTGTGTCTATTTGTATATGTTTGTGCGTGGTGATCTATATGGGTAGTGCACCACAGACGCTTCACGCGGCGAGCGTAGCCGTGGACTGCAACGGTATATGGCGGTAGACTGAGCTGTACAACGTTACAGGAGCTAACGAGGCATTGAACGCTTCAGGGATTCGGCTGTTCATTTGCTGCCGCACTGCTGGCAATTGAGGCAATTGATTATTAAGCTGCAGTCACTGTCGATCATAGAGGTTATTATGCAAGCCGTCTAGGTTTCTATAGAAGATGACAGTCCCTCGTTGAGGCACGAAATATGTCTTAGCGTTCGACTATAGTTAAGTTAACAGTAGAACCTATTGGGAAAGATCGAGTCATAATATAAACGGTCAGATGGTTCCAACCCAAAGCTAGTTCGTAATATGGACAAAAGCTAATAATGTAGGTGTCACGTCAGCTGACCATGGTTGAGTTCCATAGTTTTAGTGCAATTAGTTTGAGACCGTGACACTGGCAGTGCAAAGAATAGTCAGTCGTAGAGGGCACTTATATTAATAGTCACCAGCATATATATAAAATGTAATATCATATGGTAACTTAATCAAAGTAAGATACTAAAGAACTAGCCGGCAGCATTCAACCGCCCTCATAACGTTTGATTTTTATCGAATTTTTTTTTACATCTGAAACATCCATAATTCGAATGGGTCTGCCCTCTTTGTCATTATCCCATGGCGAATTCTAGCTAGCTTTACTTCTGGTGCTATCTCAGCTCTAAAGTTTTCTAGATTTTAGGCCCGGTTCTGCCTCTAGAGCTTGTATCAGACCATTGATGGTTACCACCAATATGAAACGGGTCAAATGGCCATGTCCGGTCTTGGACCTAGATTAACTTACTAAGCGCAGTTGAACTTAGTAGATGAACACTTGATTGCTAAATCATCACAGGATCTACACTGTTGCTGCGCTGTTTTGAAGCAGTTTTTCGGCAC